CGGGGACCAGGGCGGCTTGGGGAAGGAGAGGCGTCTCTGGGGCTTCCATGTCCGGAAGGGAGACCGCCAAGGGTCACTGGGGTGTGTGTGTGTGTGTGTGTGTGTGGTGGGGGGGTATTTGGGAATGTCCTGCCTCGTGGGGAAGGGGGTTGGACTAGATGGCCCTGGAGGTCCCCCCTTCCAACTCTGTGATTCTGTGACCTCCAGGAATTTCCGGGCCAGGAACTGGCAGAAGCTCTAGGTTGGGCCCAGGTGGTAGGAAGCAATGTTCTCTCTAAGCTGTGGAGTCCTGTGAGCAAAAATTCTACTTTGTGAGCTACAGCCATCAAAGCTGTGAGCAAACCATTTGGCTACTGCATACATTAGTTTGCTCTGGAGCCCTTCTTCCTGAGCTGAGACAAAACTGTGTGAGCCAGAGGTTGAAAAACTGTGAGCTAGCTCACAGTAACTCAGCTTAGAGGGAACACTGGTAGGAAGCAGAGGTCCATCAGTGGCTATTAGCCACTAGGTATAGTTAGGAACTCTTGGTCTGGGGCAAGGGATGCTCTGTCTTCTTGGTGCTTGGGGGTGGGGGCAACAGTGGGAGGGCTTCTGGTGTCCTGGCCCCACTGCTGGACCTCCTGAGGGCACCTGGTATTTTTGGCCACTGTGTGACCCAGAGCGTTGGACTAGATGGGCCACTGGCCTGATCCAACATTGGCTTCTCTTATGTTCTGGCACAGCTGTTCTTGAAAAAGAGCAGTTTCTGTCCAGAGCTCTCTCAGCCCCACCGACCTCACAGGGTGTCTGTCGTGGGGAGGGGAAGGGAAAGGAGCTTGTAACCTGCTCTAAGACTCCTTTGGGTAGTGAAGGGCGGGGTATAAATCCAATCTCTTCTTCTTAAGTGTTGCAGGATGTGGGGGTTGCAGACGCCTGGGCCTCTCTGTTCTTCTGTACTATATAGGTTTTGCTATAACTGACTTTGGTTTCTTGGTTCAAAACTCCCATAAGCCTTTGCTGTTTTGCTGGCATCCTAGGGGTAAAGCCGGAGGCCCTGCCCCGTAAATGCACTCTTGCCTGAATTTGTATCTGGCATTCCCCGTTCTACAAGTGCCAGACTCCAAAGCCTCAACATGTACCGGGGGGAGGGGGGCCTCTGGAGGATCTCCTGCTGCTGCCCACTTGATTGCTGAGGGTAGCCTTTGTCTTCCACAGGGTGGGGTTGGGGGATAGCCTCCCCAGTCCATCAGGAGCCCTAGCTCAGCAGGTGTTTGGCAGGCAGCAGAGGCCAGTGAAGATCCCGAGCCTGGCATGTAAGAGAGTTTTGCCTGCAGCACCTTCTGATCATTTGGCACTGGAGAAATTTGAATGAGGGACTATTATGAATCATGGGGGGCTGTGGCTTAGTGGCAGAGACTCTGCTTGGCATGCAGGCTTAGGGGCAGAGAGTCTGCTTGGCGTGCAGAAGGTCCCAGGCTCAGTCCCTGGCATCTCCAGTTAAAAGGACCAGGCAGCAGGTGACTGGAAAGACCTCCACCCGAGACCCTGGAGAGCCACTGCCAGTCTGAGTAGACAGTAGTGACTCTGACAGCCAGGAGTCTGATTCTGTATAAGACAGCTTCATGTGTGTTTTGGGAGGGGGCTGTGGCTCAGTGGTAGGTCATTACATACAGAAGGTCCCCGGTTCAATTCCTGGCACTTCCAGTTAAAAGGACCAGGCAGTGCGTGATGTGAAAGACCCCTGCCTGAGACCCTGGAGAGCCGCTGCCAGTCTGAGTAGGCAATACTAATTTTGATGGACCAGGTGTCTGATAAGGCAGCTTCATATATAATAGGGGAAGGGCCATGGCTCAGTGGCAGAGCATCTGCCTGGCATGCAGAAGGTCCCAGGTTCAGTCTCGGGCATCTCCAGTTAAAAAGGCCCAGGCAGGAGGTGATGGGAAAGGCCTTTCTCTGTCTGAGACCCTGGAGAGGCGCTGCCAGTCTGAGTAGACAATCGTGACTTTGACGGACCAGGGCTCTGATTCCGTATAAGCCAGCTTCATGTGTTCATGTAGGGAGAGTCTATTCTGTGAGGTTTGGTTGAATGTTTCTAGCAAATACCTGGGAGGAGACCTGAGTCCTCCTCTGTAGATCACAGTGTTTCTGAGGCTGCTGGGAGAGAGTGGTTGCATTCCAGTTGTTTGCTCAGCATCCTTTTCCCACCTGCCTGCTGAGAGGAGAAATGATACAGCTCCGGGTGGAAAATACCTGGATATTTGAAGGGGGCGGAGCCTGAGGAGGGGCGGGGTTTGGGGAGGGACATCAGTGGGGTATAAGGCTACAGAGTCCACCTTCCCAAGCGGCCCTTTTCTCCAGGGGGACTGATCTCAGTTGTAATTCCAGGAGATCGACGCCCCAGCGCGGCATTCCACAGAAAGATCTCTTTCTCCGTACTGTTCCAGGCTTAGCATGTAGGACGTTTTCTAATTTCGGAAGGCACACACAGTCTTGTGAAACAGCACATCTTGGGACGACGTTGCACATTCATGCTGCTTTAGGCGCGCATATAAGGATGCGTTACAAATGTAAACCGCTGACGCAGGCTATGTGTGCACGGTGTTGGGAAGACCGGATGGCCCGTAGCGTCCTCTCACGATGGCAGACCCAGGCCTCCCCCCTCTAGGGTGTGAAGTTGCCTTTTTGTTGTTGTTGTTGTTCAGTTGCACAGTCGAGTCCGACTCTTTGCGACCCCATGGACCAGATCACGCCAGGCCTTCCTGTCTTCCGCCGTCCTCTGAAGTTGGCTCAATTTCATGTTCATCCCTTTTTGTAGTTCATATCCAATTGTAAGGTGCAAGAGACTTGGAACAGAGGGAAATGGGCGGGCGGAGACACTGTTCAAGAGCATTGCTAAAAAAGGGTGACGTGTCCCATCTTGATACTTCCCGAGGGTAGTAGTGTTGGTCTGCAGAGGATCAGCTGGATTCCATTGGTCAGGTATCCGACAAATCTTGGTCTCTAAGGTGCCGCTGGACTTGAATCTAGGCGTCCCCCCTCTGGGAAGACGTGTTATTTGTCAGGAGGCTGATAAATGCAGACTGTCTGATAAATGCAGGCAGGTAGTGCTGGCCTCCTGATAGGCTGCTTGCCAGAAGCAAACACGCCACCGTGTTGAACGTTTTCGTTTGTACCAGCTTCTGCATTGTGCGAGTTTCCTTCCACTGAAGAGAGGGCTGTCGGGGAACGCTGGGCGGCCCCAGACGCTTGATTTCTGTCTGCTCCTTTGGTCTTTGTATCCTGGCTGTGTTCTTCAGGGCTGTCAGTGTGGTTCTGCACTGCTGCCATGCAGCAGCGTACAAAATACTATCTAGGGATGTTACCACCCCTCTCCCCACCAGCATCTTTCCAAGACTTCTTTTCACGGAGGGGGCTTTGTCACAAGGACAGCCAACGAAACGCAAGCCTTTCTGAGAAAAGGAATCAGTTCCCACATTCCCTCCTGGGCAAGCTTTCGTAGGTCTTGCTGGTGTTGACACAGACTTCAGGACACTGTGACTAGCGTCACACACATCGCTGTAGGTCATGCTGAGGTGCCGTTTGGCAGATAGGAAAAAAAAATCAGTTCAGTTGCCTCTTGTGGATCAGAGAAGACCTTGAAACAAGTGTGTTAGCTTTCTTTTGAAAGCATATGTGGCAATACCTTCTAGCATTTGCAGTGCGTTTAGCACAGTATGTTGGTTCCTTCTGCTTTAAAGGACAGCTGCCACTGAGGACGTGGCTAGTACAGTCCAACCAGAGTTTGTACCCTTTTAAGCTTGCTGACTTCAGTGGATGTGAGAGGTAGAACTCTGTTTAGGATTGTTGTATTGGGAATTCTGTTTCGTAGACCAGTTTTGTTATTGTCAAGTATGATATTGGCAACACTCTGGAGAATGTAGAAAATTGCAAGCTCTGGTGACTGAAATTCGCACAGGGCAAGAAGAAGCCATTGGAACCGGGGGCCCTCTGCTCTGCGAGTTCATAGACGGAGGGGTTTGGGAGGAGCCGATAAACTTGTGGCGATTGCTTGGTGGGTGGTGGCAGCGGCTGGCAGTTGGACTGCTGTCTTTCCTGCGTGTTCTGTAAATATCCTGGATTCTTCTTTCATGCGTTCATAATATATGAACTGAAAATGTAACACTTGGACCATTTTCTGTTCTGTAAACTCAGATGTTTACAGCTAAGATGGTTAAGTGCGCGGACTCTAATCTGGGAGAACCGGGTTTGATTCCCCGCTCCTCCACTTGCACTTGCTGCATGACCTTGGGCAAGCTGTAGTTCTGGCACAGCTGTCCTTGAAAAAGAGCTATTTCTGTCAGAGCTCTCTCAGCCCCACCTGCCTCGCAGGGTGTCTGTTGTGGGAAGGGAAAGGAGTTTGTAAGCCGCTCTGAGACTCCTTTGGGTAGTGAAGGGGCACGGGGCATAAATCCAGTCTCTTCTTCTTCTTCTTCTTTCCCAGGTGAAACTGCCACCGATGATGGAGATCATAACTGCTGAACAGTTGATGGAATACCTAGGTGAGTCCTGGCAGCACTTAGTATGTGGTCTGTGCTTGAGATGAATTGTCACAAAGGGACGGTGTGCCTTGGTCAGGCCCTGGTTAGAATCTGGATTTCTAGGCTGCGATATACGATAGCGTGTTCAGGAGTCGCTACACATAGAAAGGACTTGGACAGAGCCAAACCAAGAGAGGCTAACTTCAGAACAACCGGGGAGTCGATAGAAAGGACTTGGACAGAACCAAACCAGGAGAGGCTAACTTCAAAACAACCTGGGAGTCAACTCTGCCTGCTTCAGTGAAGAGGAGGGTCGGGAATGCCATCTGCATTCACATGTGCTTAACTTGTATGTAGGTTTCTATTTTTGTAGGGAGGGAGTGACTCATTAAAATCCTTTCAAGGTTGCTTCTGTAGCATTTGGGTCAAGCGAGTAAGATTTAGGGAGAATCACTGCTTCTGCCGAGGTGGAGGTCTATAAAATAAGCATTTACCAGACCAGAGCTGAAGAGTGCCGAGTTCCTGTGATTGAAGACTGCCCTCTCAGCACGTCAAGGTGTACTCTTCCAGAATAAATCAGAAGTTGGTGTCAGAAAGGTCAAATAATCTTAAAAACAATTAATTTTTACTGCAACGGGTTATTTGGACAGGTTGATACAGCGAGTAGTTTCTCAGCACAGACATCCCCTGTGATGTTTCTTACTGCGGAGGACGTGCCGTAGGTCAGGAATACCAATAACTCCTTCAGCCGCTGGCTTCTCCCCCTTTGGAATTGCTCCTGCTGGGTTGCTCAGCACCTCTGATGCTGGTGTTAGCAGCAGCTTCCTTCTGGTGTGGCGGGGAGCAGGAGCTGCTCAGCTGTTCCCCCCCCCTCCCCATGAAGTCTTAAAGTTGCTCGTAGCAGCCCTCTTTGAGTCACGGAGGTGCAGCTTTCAAACGAGTCTGTAGGATTACATTACACATTACATTACACATTTGACTTATATACCGCTCCTTCCCGGAGGCTCGGAGCGGTTTACATTTGACATTTAAATTGCCTAACTAGGGCCACAGTGCAAGGGGAGGGGTGAGTGCCTACCAGGCACCTAAGCAGCCGTGATCTTCTTCTTCTCTTGCAGGAGATTACATCCTCGATGCAAAACCGAAAGAGATCTCCGAAATACAGCGCCTGAACTATGAGCAGGTAATAACAAGTTCTTCTAAAGAGGAAGTGGCATTTTCTAGGAGCGCGCTGAGAACAGTCCCTTCATTTTTGTGCCGTTGCTAATTGAGGCATATGTGGCATCTGATTCAGAGTGAGTCTTCATTGGTAGGGGGATGCCTCTGGGGTTGAAAAATAACCTTTTCCCTGTGCAGAAAGTATGAGATGTTGCACTGGACTCCTGGTAGTTTCATTGCTTGTTTCTGAGAAGCTGATGATGTAATCTGATCACACAACTGTTTTGCCTCAAATGGGAGCATCTGTTCCTTGGGCTGAATCCCACCAGATTTTCTTGTACCGCCTGGAGGAGAGGCCCCTTTCTACCCCCCAAAAGGCCACGTGGATGATTGTGGAATGTACACTGGCAAAAACCTGTGTGGGGGGGGGCAGTGAGCAGGGGAACTGGGCAGGATCACCCTTCGGACCCATCACCTTCTAGTTTGGTGTAGTGGTGAAGTGCGCGGACTCTAATCTGGGAGAACCAGGTTTGATTCCCCACTCCTCCACTTGCAGCTGCTGGGTGACCTTGGGCAAGCCATAGTTCTGTCAGAGCTGTTCTCTCAAGGATGGCTCTGGAAAGAGCCCTCTCAGCCCCCACCTAACTCACAGGGTGTCTGTTGTGGGGAGGGGGAGGGAAAGGAGATTGTCAGCCGCTCTGAGACTCCTTTGGGTGTTGAAAGGTGGGGTATAAATCCATTCTTCTCCTTCTCCTCCTCTTTCTTCTTCTTCCGCCGCCTTTGGGCAGGACAGATGGTCTTAGATTGATTTTCTGCATAGTTTTATCTTCATGAATTTCTGACACAAGCTCGTTGTCTTTAGAATGACCAAGAAGGGGTTTAATCCTCCAGTAAAATATCATTAGTAAATCGTGATCTCAGAAGCAGTCCCTTTGTTCTGGCCATCAGCCAGCCTGCCTTGGTAAAGGGGTTTAATCCTCCAGTAAAATATCATCAGCCAGCCTGCCTTGGTCTTCGTCAGCACATACCTCAGTGCATTAGGAGGAGATTGGGTTATTTGTTGAGGACTCTTGGAAGCTCCTGAGAATTACCAATACAATGGTTACTAGAATTGGTTTCGGCACTTACTAGTGTAGCTTGATAAATATTAACCTACCAGAGATAGAGCATAAACTCTACTTGTGACCAGTGTCCCCTCTAAGCTGAGTTAGTGTGAGCTAGCCCACAGTTTTTAAGCCTCCGGCTCACACATTTTTGTCTCCGCTCAGGAAGGACGGCTCCAGAGCGAACTAATTTATGCAGTAGCCAAATCGCTCCCTCGCAACTTTAATGGCGGTAGCTCACAAAGTAGAATTTTTGCTCACAAGCCTCCACAGCGTAGAGGGAGCATCGCTTGCGACCTGGTGGTGGTTTTTATCAACATCGGAATGTCTTGGCGTTTTAAATTGTCCTCCTGTAGCTTTTGAGTCCAGTGCTTCCGAGGTTTTACTGTTATGTGTGGCCTGCTCTAAAAATACTAACTTAGGGGGCTGCTTCTGCGTGTTGGCTGATGCCAGACAGTGATGTGGATATCCCCCCCCCCATTTTTTGGCAGAATATGAGTGATGCAATGGCCATCCTGCACAAGCTTCAGACAGGCCTGGATGTCAACGTGAAGTTCACTGGGGTGCGGGTCTTTGAATACACACCGGAATGTATCGTGTTTGACCTTCTTGATATTCCGCTGTACCATGGGTGGCTGGTGGACCCTCAGGTAAGCAAGCGTGGTCTGCTGCTGTGGGCGCCTTCTGGTCTGTGCTCCGTATCAGAAAAGACGTCGTGACAATTTCCCGCTTGCGTGTCATCAGTGTCCTCCTTTATGAGCTAGAGTTTTCAGAGGTAGCACTAGAATTAAATTTTCTCATAAGGTGCAAGCATGTCAGTCAAAACGGGGCTCTCTTTTCAGATTGCTGACATTGTGAAAGCCGTCGGCAACTGCAGCTACAATCAGCTGGTGGAGAAAATCATCTGTTGTAAGCAGTCGGACAACAGAGAGCTGGTTGATGAAGGTGGGTGGACAGCTTTTGTGGTCGGAACCAGTTCTGGCGCTGCTCAGTGTGACGAGAATTATTTCAGCTGGCCGTCCCTTAAGCAGGTAGATCTTGTGAGTCTGCCCTGCACGGCCCCTTGGTTCAAGTTCAGTAGCTCCTTAGAGACCAACACGATACTTGGAATTCCCAACTAGGTGGCAAGGACGTTTTCCCCAGTCCTCACAAAGACTTTCCTTTCACGCTCTTC